GAATAGCCATTGCCAGATCCCCAAAAGATTAGTACCATTACCATAACAGGTAGCCATTCTGGACTCCCAGAATTTTGTGCAGAAGATTCTAGACTCTAAAAGTTGCCTACCAAATCCCAATATCAAATTGCAATTCATGTAACAGTAAAGTGAATTCATTAAACACATGAATAGACATACTGTATATACTCGAGTATAAGCCTAGTTTTTCAGCCCAATTTTTGTGCTGAAAAAATCCCCCTCGGCTTATACTCGAGTCAGATTCCCCTCTGAAAAAAAAAATGGTGTGGAGTCGCGGCCTCCGGCGGCAGCGACTCCCAACAGCCCCAGCCGGGAAGGGAAAGGCAAAAAGCGCTTTGCCTTTCCCTTCCCGAGGCGGCGGGACTGGGGCCGCGCCGGCGGTAGTGACTCCTGACTCAGGGGGCCTCCGAGGGAGGGGAAGAGAGTGACTCCTGCCTCCTGCTGTCATCATCATCTTCTTCTTTTGGGTTAGTGAATCAATTAAACCTTTCATGATAGTGAGATCGTTTCCCAAATTAATTATTTTTATTTTTGAAATTTACCAGTAGCTGCTGCATTTCCCACCCTCGGCTTATACTCGAGTCAATAAGTTTTCCCAGTTTTTTGTGTCAAATTAGGTGCCTCGGCTTATATTCGGGTCGACTTATACTCGAGTATATACGGTAATTACATTTCATGATTTGAATATACATCTTACCTTAAGATATACTCAATAAATTTTAGTTTTTATCTTTACCACTTCGTAGCATATGGCCTTCAATATGCCACTCAAAGGCAAGGACAGCCTTGATTCAAGAAAAGTTGAGCACCTGATATAGCAGAATGTTTCCGCAATTATTTTAATCAATAAATTAACCATCACCACCCCCAAAAAGGAATTAAAATACTCTTCAATCACCTTGTGCAAAGGCAAAATGATACCAGCAATGGGAGATCTGAAATTTTTATTTCATTTTTGCTAAACCACAAGGAAAAATATGAAGGCATTTAGTTCAATGGAAAAACAGGTGCTCTCCATAAAATGGCCCGGATTAATTTCTAGGGTTTTGAAATGAAAAATCTTAGACTCCTGAGCTGTTGGCACTGTAATAGGTAAAAGAGATGCATAAAGCATTTCTTTGGAACATATAAGCTTAGCTGAATGGACATATTTTTTTCTGTTACAGGGAATGCTTTTGCTTTGCATCTCTCTCCTTAGCATTCCAAGGTCAATATCTCTACTTTCTATATGATATTCCCTACTCTCTACATCATGGGAATCAAACTTGCCATGTCATGTTGCCGTCAAGTGATGTATCGTGATGTTTTTTCCCTTTGTGGAGCTGCCAGTTTGACACCCCTACTCTACATGATAAAACACAACTTCTGTCAGCTTAAGGCAACACTGGGTTTTACATAAAATGTCAAGGGTTTCAGTTGCCAGTTGTGTTTGGCCAATACTATATACACATTGGAGAAAGTTAGGGGCCTTATGAGATGAAATGCTGCCTTAATGGAGAACTAGTGCTTGGTACCATAGTAAACCACCCATTCTGCAGAGGCTTTGGGTATTGCAAAAGAAAGGCTGGTAGGCTACATATGATTCATCATCCACTTTTGTTTTTGGTAGCATTTTATTTCAAAGTGTTGTTGCCATCTAGCCTTGTCTCAATTTCAATTTCAGCTTTGTGTAGCCATTTAGCTTTTTTATCCATAGACAGATATTTATCAACTGATTAATATCAGATCATCCTTGCTTTACTATCAGTTGGGACCAGCAACTCCATCAATGAATGACACAGTTGTTAAGTGAGACATCACACGAATGTCATGGATTAGCAACTCTACATCCATAGCGATCATTAAGTGAAATATCATGTGACCATGCCTTGCAATTTTACAGCCAAATTCTCTACTGAATCAGCTTGTCAGAAGCCAGATGCGAAGCAATAATGATCATGTGACCACAAAACATTACAATGGTCATAAGGGTAAGGATCAGTCATAAAGTAATTTTTCAGCACCACTGTAACCTCATATGGCTTCTAAACCAGGGGTCACCAACCTTTTGGACCTCAGGGACCACCAAACTCATCATTTTAAATCCCAGGGACCACTAACTGGTTCTGTGGGCATGGCCTAATTTGTGGGTGTGGCTTGGTGGTCATGTGACTGGCTGGGCATGGCTTTTATGTAAATATTATAAATATTTATATAAATATTGAATTTTTTATTTAAAAAAGAGCAACATTTACCTAAAATCAGGGAAAGTAGGCAGGCAGATTGAGTTGTTCACAGAATCACAGATTCATTCAGAAATCTATCTATCTGCCATTGGCTAGCTCAGTCTATCACATAAAATTTGCTTGCAAGCAAACTCACAAAATTAACTCACAACACACCATGTGTGTAAATATTGAATTTTTTATAAAAAAAGATAAACTTTTACCCAAAATCAGGCAAAGCAGACAAGCAGATTGAGTTGCTCACAGAATCATTCAGTGATCCATCTATCTGATCTATCTATCTGCCATTGGCTAGTTCAGTCTCTCAAATTTGCTTGCCGTGAGTCTGCACTGAATAATAGAACCTTCAGTCTTAAGGGAGGTTCAGCTGTGCTTAAAAGCAGAGCCGAAGATCTAAAGACTAGCTAGAAAGCAAGAAATCCAACCATTTCCTGCTTCCTAGCTAATCTAAATCTCCCGGCACAGCAGACCAGATGTTGGTCAGAAAAAGGAAAAATAGCAATTTAGCAGATAAGTTTGCCAGGTAAGGAGTGAGTGGGCAGGGAGGGTTCCCGCAGGCCATGTGGGTAGTGCAGCCTTGTGTTTCTGCCACAGCCTGGATTAATTGCTTTGGGGGAGGGGTGCTCTGGGGTGAGGTTTCTCTGCGGCCCACCAAAATTTTTTCATGGCCTACCAGTGGGCCGCGGCCCACCAGTTGGTGACCACTGTTCTAAACAAGGCTCTCATTAAGCAAGGGCTACCTGTACTATACAATAAATGCTAAGGACTCTGGGAACAGTAAAGTATGAAGACAGTACAAGTAACATGAAAATCAGAACAAAATCTTGCTAAATTCTGTCTTCCTTAAAGTTTGTTCTCATCATTTCTTTCACATACTGCAATTTGTGCCTTGTAGCCTTGGAAATGAAACCTGTTTGGAACACATGCTCTCCCATTCAATTTGATTTAGACTCTCAAGAAAAGGAGAAAAGAATTTTACAAACTGAACTACCTACGGAACACCCCAAGTTCAGACAGACCAGGCTTTTAAGCATTCAGTCCCTTTCTGCAGAGGAAGCAAACCAGCCAGAGAAATGGGACAAACAAATTTATTTGACTTTTGTCTTTGGCTCTGTGCCTTTCAGGAGGCCTTTTTCACGGCTGATCAAGTTTCCCAACAGTCTCAAGGTCATACCATATTTAACCATGTGTGTGTGTGTGTGTGTGTGTGTGTGTGTCCATGTACAGAGAGAGGCTGGGGTGTAGCCATTCCACCTCCACCACCATATTCCACAATTGTTCCAATTTAACTAATGGGAAAAGTCTTAGTTATTAAATTACTATTTTGTTAAATCACTTATCTGATGCTTTTAAAAAAACAACCCCTTTCAAAGGGATGCCTTGTAACATTTTGTTAGTTGCAACTTATTGGAATGGCCAATCTGCTGTTACATTCTCAGAGATCTCTGGTCAGGTTGCACACATTGCATGACAGAAATGTGTAAATGTTCTCCAACAGCCCTTGAGCAATTTTAAAAACTGCTTTGGAAAAGCATGGGAGGGATATCACTCAATTCTTTCTCCATTCCAAATTATAATACTCTTCCTTCCATCCATGTCCTGCTATTTGAAAGACATCAGTGCAATCACTAGGTTGAAGGCACTCTATCCTTTGATGTATCTAGTAATCCCTTAAGATTCCCACACCTCCAGATATTTACCCAACTTTAAGATAATCCACTTCAGGATTAAAATCATTTAGACCATGCCTCTTTGCACATAGTTGTTTAATTTGGCCCAGGTATGTCACTGTGAGCCACAGAAATGTTACAGCAGAATATTTTTGCTGCAATTTTCCCACACTGACTCTATGCCTTAGTTTACAAAGAAGAGTTCAAGTGTTAACACATAACCCCTGCTGTGAAAAAGCAGAGATAAGACCATGGAGGGAGTTGGCAGGTTGAGATGGGCACAGATCCAAGCAAGGCACAATATTCAAACCTTCTTTTAGGCTGTGATAAGTTGCTCCTGTTGGCAGCATGAGCTGGGCCAGTAGCTATTTTTAAAAACAGATCTAAAACTAGAGAAAGCCTGCAAGTCAGCAAAAGCTGATGCAGCTGTAGCAGAAAGCAAGACACCAAAAGGGGTTATTTAACCCTTCAGTCCCAAAGTGCAAAAGCAATAAAAGCATAGGCGCATTTATTATTCTTTTATGGTGTAATTCATTACACATCTTCTGGCTGCCCGTCTAAATAACCGGACAACCTCTTGGAAAGGGAGGTACATGGTATTCAATAATATCACACAAGAACATAAAATAGTCTCAGATTCTCTCACTTCATAAATCCGATGGAAGGTTTTAGGCAATTCCTATCCTTAAAATTGGCCTGCACGTCATAGAAAGACTGAGAATAAACAAAAAATATTCACTATGTACAAAAGCTCATAGTTTTTGGAGGAAAGGCAGTATATGTTGTTGCACATAAAATATATACATTTATTACACAGAATCAATTTTTTGTAGAGTGAGTCTGTATTGATGAAAAGTGTGTGTACATTTGGATTCTAGGCTGGACTTTTGCATTTCACTTTAATTAAATGCATCCTTCTGCTTACTTAGGAACATATATAGAAGTTATTGCAGAACATGAACAGAAAATAGCAATAACTATAGCACTTAGACTTACACACCATTTCACAATACTTTACAGCTCTCTCTAAGAGGTTACAGAGTCAGAATATTGTCCCAGCAATCTGGGTCCTCATTTTACTGACCTTGGATGGAAAGCTGAGTCAACCTTGAGAATACTGGAAACAATCACGCCATCTAATTCAGGGGTCACTAACATGAGGACTGTCAGCCCCAAGATATACATCGGTGTCTAATATAGTACCCACAACATTATAAAACTAAGCAATGAAAAATGAAACAAATTTCAAAATCTGACATCATCTGCATCTCACATTTTTTTACAATCTTACACAAAATTTCACAAGATTTCAGATGGTGGGACAATACATAATTCATTGTAGTCATAGTGTAGACATAACACTAAAAGCCATAAACCATATATTTAAGCATATGATTGAATCCACATTATTCTTGGATATAATCAAACACATGTAAACAAAAATTATAGTTTAATGAAATGTATGAATTTATGAGCAGCTGGATCACAAAGAGATATTTATAAAAACAAATAGCTATGAGTGTTTATGCAATCCATGAACTTGAAATTTGTAAAACAAAATCATATTCAGGGAACATTTATCAAAACTGAACTAAACTAGCCTAACTGAGTATGCCTAAACCAAGGGTATCAAACTCAATTTCATTGATGGCTGCATCAAGGTTTTGTTTGATCTTGGGGGGGGGGGGAGGTGGCCAGGGGTGTGTGGCCAACTTGATATCTCTCATGTTGGGGGCGCCTGTGGTGGCCCAAGCACTCTGCCAGCAAAAACAGGCTCCTGAGCTCTGTTTTCGACTGGGACAGCCTCATGCAGCAGTTTGCCAGCAAAAATGGAGCTCCATTTTTGCTGGCAGAAGCACCATGGACTGGTCCTTTGTTGTTAACTGGACAGCCCTGCAGGCCAGATCTAAGCACCCCACAGGCTGGATTCGGCCAGCAGGCCTTGAGTTTGACACCCCTGACCTAGATCAAATTCATCTCAACCAAAAATTCACTAAGTAATATTTAGCAAGCCTATCTTCTGTTCTCTCTCTACTATTTCCTAATAACTCACACTATACTTGTAATTTTGCATCAAATCCATACCATTTACTGATCTCAAATACTTTCAGAAAGTGTTGAATATTCAAAATCCTCTATTCCCCAGATTGAAGAGTGAATCTTAGGAAAGTGGCATTCTAGCAAACCCTGTAAAGTGCGCTATCCCAGCAAATTTTCAGCACACTTTAAAATATTGCATTTAAAAGCTTTTCTCCTAGATGGATTGAAGAAAACATGTGCATTACTAGGGATTTCTGTTGGTTTCCACATGTAACATTGAGTGGTTGCTGAGTCAAGAAAGGTTGTCAATTAATAGTAGAACACCTACTTTGTGCAAAGAAAAGGGCTCTCAAATATTATCTGTTGCTAATTAAAATTAGCAATTTTGGACCAACTTTACACTTATATAGACAATTTGTCTGTTAAAGAGAGAAGCAAAATGTCTAGAATTTGAAAATTTGAATAGGAAATCAAGACACTTATGGATCATCTTTGCATGAAACTCACAACTGAACTCACACTGCTTTTGTCATCTTTATTTACTTCCTTGTTTTCTTTCTACCACACAGGGCATTTCTCACACAATGCAATGAGGAAGAAATGGGAAAATATGTACTGGCCTTTTGGCATGAGCTCAAAGGCAAGTGAAGCAAATATTAATGTCATTCTGGAATAAAGCTAGATGATCAACAGGTTGTAGCTTAGACCTTACATTAAATCTGCAGCAGGCAGATTGTTTTAGAATTCTGGGAGTATTGTTCCAATATATTTAGTGAATGTGTGGTTGAAGAAGAGTTCTTGCTCATGAAATTTATGTTATAAAGATTTTTTAAAAATCCAATTAACATTAGAACATTTTAGTCTCAGATGCTGAGTGGCCAAATGCAATATGTTTATTGTGGAATATGAAGAATAATAAAAATAATAATAAAACTGAGAATCCAAGGTAATTTGCACACTCAATAAGGCTACAGAATAAGGTAAATATAGCATTCTCAAATCCAATATTAATGAAAAGTTGCTAGGTTATTCCAGTATTATAACTAGAAGTCTCTCTCTCTTTGTATTTTTCAACACTTCATTGAAAAACACATATCAATATCTACTGGAAGGAAATCAACATTATAAATGCATATATCAAGCCATTTAGTCCTTCGTTTCCCACTATAAAAACAAATTGTGTAATCAAAAAATATGCTGTGGGAGTTACATCAGTTTTGGTGTACTCCAATTTCAATCCCAAAAATGACGCTGAGCCTATTCTTCTTTTTTCCGCGTTCAACAGCTGCTACTCTTTACTCCACTAGTTATACAATCTCCAACTGCATAGACAATAATCTAATCCATGCCCTTGTTCAATGAGAACAATTTCAAATAAAAAGGGCTCTTCCTAACATATGAAGATGTCTCCTGAATGCAGCACTTCATACTTCTATTTCCATGGGCTGAAAAAGTTATAAAAGATAATTTTTATGGTGTGCCTAACAAACCAGTATCAGATTTAACTAGAAGATTCCTGTCCATCAATATTCATTTCTCCCAACTTTAGAAAGTCAGGGACATGTTGTCCTTGGAATCTTTAATTTGTACAGTTGTTTGCTTATTTTCCCCATATCTTTATGTTGAAAATTAATAATTTTTTTCATTATAAATTTGACTCAAAATTGACTATGTGTATTTTGAAGGATCTAAATAATTTTTATGTCAAATGTTTGGTTTTCATGTTATACACTTGACTAAAACAGAGATGAAAGAAAACAATGGATTGTGCCTCTGCCTGTAGAGAAGTTTGCTGAAAGTCACTTCCCTTCAACTCAGATAATTATCTGAAGGATTCTATTCCTCTTTAATTTTAGATTTGCACAGAACTGAGTGACTAGATATATTATTACAGTAACTCTAATTTGTTCTATTTATTTATTTATTTTTACTTATTGTGTTGTTCAAATCCAGTTATTGTGACTTAGTAACCCTTATGGCATATGGCTACATTATAAGAACTATTGTTGCTATTTGATCCAATAATTAGCTGAAACCACAACACACAAATAACAAAAAATGCAAAATATTTGTGTTGAAGTAGAGCAGCTTCCGCCATCTTGTATTTGTGCAGAATTGCTAAACAAAGGCAGTTGGGAGATATCTGCTGGATAGAATTCCTGGACAGAAGAAATTGGACTTTTGAAATCTGTTTTTTAGATCTTTCAGTTGAACTCCAGACCAGATATGGACTCATCTACAATGTGAGATTGGTGTAGAAGGAGAAAGCAGAGGAAGTCTTAAGTATACTGTCTTGTTTCATTCTTTCTCTTCTAAAAAGGAGGAATAGAAGAAGAAAAAGGATGAAGCAAGGCAATATACTTAAGACTTCCTCTGCTTACTCCTTCTGCATCAGTCTTACACTGTAGATGACTCATATAACCTCAGATCAAGACTTGGAAAAACCATTTAACTATGCTTAATCATATATCAATATTTGTGTAAATAAAATAGGACTAAAGTGCCAAAGAGGACATAAGGAGTTAAATGCCATAAATAAGGTTTAAATTTGAAACCTTCCTATTTCATAGTCTACCTTTTTAATCACAAGTTCTGTAGACTTGGCATAGCACTGATAGCGCCAAAATAAATCAGTTCAAATAATCTATATGACAGAGCTTAAGTGTTATACTCTACATAACCCAGCAAGGTAACAGTGCAATACTATGTGAGTCTACTCAGAAGTTCCCAGTAAGATACTTATGCATTCCCTCTTTTCATTTCCAGTACTTTTTGTTTCTACCTATGGTTGGTTTTAACGAAAGACTGAAAAACATCTAGCAAGGATAAGGGGGTTTATTTTAGGACATTTTGAGGGAATGATTCTAAATCAAATATAATGCCATCAAAGTGTTCCAAATGCTATTTGGTTTTATGACTATACTGATAACACAGCAACCAAGATTTTGATCAAGATGCAAAAGACATCCTAGTACCTATTCTGATGATCTTAGTGATCAGCTAAATTTTTTAATGGTAGAGAATTAAAGATGGTACGATTCTAAAAGTGAATTGCTGAATAACAATGGACTCATTTATTTATTTATTTGGTAGGCCACTATAAAAGTCATATGCCAGATTCCCTTGTCCAATCAGGCAGAACTATTTTAGCTTGTTGTAATGCATAACCCAACCAGCTAAATTTTTGTTCTATATCAAATAGAAAAGAAATGCATTCCTGCAAAACTGCATTTTCAAGCATGTATTACTCTAACAAAAATATTGATATATGATATGTGCTAAAATTAATTTAATTAGGGTTCCTGTTTGTGAGATACTGGGAAACATTGTGAGGATGGTAGAGTTTATAAAGCTTTTTTCAGCACACTTAACTGTAATTCCCACAAAGAATTTTCCTACCACCTCATATTTGCCAGCAAAGCACATTAGATCCTGCCAACACACTGTATAAAAAAGCTGCACGCAAGTCATTAGCCATTGACGTCTGAGAATAAGTAATTTCATGAGGATCCTGATGATTGGATCTGAACTTGGCAGCAAAGCTGAGCCCAGCACATAAGTTGACCTTTCACCTATCCCAAAAGAAAATTATATCACAAGAGGCTTAAAGCAGCCCCACAGAGGGCAAGAAATAGAGAGAGTAAAGACGATCAAAGTTCTAGTGATTAGACAGAGGGTGCAATCACAGCATAATCATCATGTAGGGTAAAATATGCTGGAGAGAAAGAAAGAAAAAACTGCTGGCTTCAGCACCCTTTTTTCCTGTATCTTTGATGTGACTTTCATTTCCTCAGTAAATGCCGTCCTACATACGTACAATGTAGCTTCATCCAACATTCATACCTCATTACTTGGCTCTTATCTATTACAGGTTTTTTACTTTAAACTTTATTCTTTTGAGCAAGGACTTTTTGCTTAGGGTACTATATACCACAGTTGGGTAATCCCTGGTCTATATGTGATTAGTATAATCATGCAATAAATATTGGACAGCAAATTATCACTTCTCAGTAATTTTTGCTTATTTTAAAAAAATCTGCATTACTGTAAACAATAGAAGATTTAATAAACCAATTTTACTGAAAATGAACTATCCCTCCAAAAAGAAGTTCCCATGATTGACATTACCATGCTCTTGGGCCAATACACTTTAACTTCTTAACACATGGTTCCCCTTCC